GTGATTTGGAGTGAGGATGGGAGGTGTGTGATTGTGAGGATGGGAGGTGTGTGATTGTGAGGATGGGAGGTGTGTTTTGGAGTGAGGATGGGAGCTGTCTATGGGAGGTGGATGGGAAGTGTTCAGCATCCACCTTCAGAATTCAGCCCCATCCTATCACTGGTCTTCCAGTTACAGTTAAATAGGGATTTTCCTTCTTTTAGGCCATTGGATGGATCATTTGGCCAATCAGGAAGTGCCTGCTTGTTACTGCTGACGTGTGCCGTGCCAGGCTCTGACGTGCCCCTGATACATCCAGGCAGAGGGGAAGCCCAGCCGTTCATGGAGCCCCCAGGGGACGGTGGGGGCAGTTATCCACATCCCACTATATTTATAGCTGCGCCTTGGTCCTGGCATCTATATTTAGCACTCCTGTTGATCTTATTGATTTCTGGAAGGCTCTTCACTTTTGAGCCAGAAAAGATCTAAATGAGGTTTATCATAGTCAAAAGGTCAATACAACCTTCAGAACAATGTGCCAGAGCATGAAACCAATTTTTCCCTATTAACGAAAAATTAATTCTTGTCTTGATGAATGTACTTCTTCTCTCATGTTTTCAGCGTCTCGTCACAAAAGACATTGTTGTACTGTAACTGATTACCTTAATCAGGGACGGCTTGTTTAAAAGCACTCTCCGGGCTGCGCAGTAAACATAAAAGCACTGATGGTAAACATATCGATCGCAGATATGGTGCTTGGCCGGTCACTCATGTGACTCCGCTTGAAAAGGCAGTCAGTTGCTACGGCGTCTCCCTGGAGACACTGGCTTTGTTGTCACAGCCGGCCTCCATACCGACGCTCAGGTCATGCGGCTGCCTTGAGGAGCACACATGACTTTCCACTGCGCTCTCGCTGTGCCTTCATCTGTGCGCCTGGCTACACAGCACTAATTACACTAGAGGGAGCATCATCCGGGGACGAGGAAACGGCTGGGTGGGGTCGCTGCAATGAGAGGGCGAGACGCTGGAGTGGCACAGGGGATTATGGGTAATAGGGTTGAGGGAAGACAAGGGGTGGAAGGAAGACTGTAATCAATTGGCTTCCTGTCTGGTGGGTAGCCCCCAGTCTTGCGTTCCAGAACCCCCACCCGTAATCCTGACCAGGATAACATTTATATTTGTGTGTTTGTTTTATTTAGCAGGCATTTTTATCTAAAGTGACATCAAAGTGAGGCTAATAGCACATTACAAGCATGCATGCTGTCAAGGTGGCAATCAGACGTAAGAGGAAGAGCTACCCAAGCAGGTAGCAGATGGATGGATGGTGGATGGATGATGAATGATGATGGATAGATGAATGTATGGATGCATGGATAGAGTATGTGTGGATGGATGGATGGATGGATGATGGATGGATGGATAGGTGGAGGAAAAGGAGAAGGAGGACAGAATGCAGAACCGTGGGAATGAGTGAAGAAGAAGACATAGAGAATGAAGTTTTGCAACCACTGGAGTCTGAGGGAGGGGTTACTGTCTCAGCAGGGAAGCGTGTGCACAAAGTCAGGGACTAGCGGGTCCTGCCCTGACTGGGAATCCAATCTTAGTTTTCATGATGTCGCAGCAATGTGACGCTGAATGATCAGAGCCCCCCCCGAGAGGTGGTACCTTCACTGGCCTGACTGTGAAAAATTATAGAGCTGAACTAGGAGATTTGTATTTGTGTTGGGCCATCTCTGCCATTACACAGCGCCCCCCCTTACTGTAATACTGCATAACGATGCTCTGTGTCTGTGGATGATGTGGCACACATCCGGGAGTTTAGAAACAATGCCTGAAATTTCAAAATAGCACTCAGCCCACTCTCGATTACAGAATAAATGCTTGCTCGGATGTAACATTCCCGTGGCATTCTGGGGCATTCCTGCTTCATGACCCTTGGACACGGATCCCTGAGCAGCGGCGTTCTGGGAGTACAGGGAAACACTATCCAGGACTCCTGGCTCCAGGGTGTCAGCTCTGAGCACGCTCAGTAAGTGCCTGATCCCTTCACTGGCTGGATGAATTGTTCTTTGTCCAAACCCCCCAGGGCTGAGACAGAATCTCTCACCCTGGTGATGCTTCAATTTATTACTCTACAACTATTGCAGCGTTTGCTGCTAAATAAATCTGACATTTCCTTTAAACTGTTTAATAATAGCCGTTGTCGGCCAAAGCCATATCTTACGAACACAACTCTGCAGACTCCAGCCAAGCAATCCACTGAGAGAGAGAAGCTGGGTATTCTCCCTCCTTCAATGGTGCCACCCCCCAGGTTCAGGGTATTACAGTGCCCCCACAACCATACTAACCACTATGCTCATTCCCAAAAACAGCAACACCAACCATAATTATTTAGGACATTATTTATATTGCAAATGAGTCTATAAGAATTTCAGACGACCCTAGTCATTTCGCTTGTTTTCTTCAGGTTGTGTGATTGCGCCGTTTGTTTGCCTGTGTTTGTTCACTTTTGTTTGGTCGGAAGTCACAGAGCCTTGTGTTGCAAGACACCCAACCCACCAGCTCCTGTCAGGTCCTGGAAGATCCCATGTTGGCTTGGAATTTGATGAGGAATTATTTGAAGCTGTCTGGGGCCAGTTGGTGGAACGTCCACAGTCTGACCGCCCAAGGAACCGTGCCGAGGAGGGGGTCTTATTTATGACGTGTTTCATCTGTCAGCAATAATATGGTCTCTAGAAGGTAACAAAATTTGTTCTTCAATCAGAAGTATATAAGATAAGCTTCATTGATCCCAGGTCATATAATATTCCACACAGATAATAAAAAAAAAATATTCGTTTGATGTCCGGGGTGGTGCAGTGGTTGGCAGTGTTGTATCACAGCTCTAGGACCTGGGTTTGAGTCTCTGCCAGGGTTTGATGTGTGTGGAGTTTGCATGTTCTCCCTGTGGCACTGTGGGGTTTCCTGCAGATACTCTCCTTCCCCCCAACAGCCCAGATGTCGAGGTGAGTTTGCTCTGCGATGGGCTGTTGGCCCCCTGCCTTCTGTCTATAGGCTCTGGACCCCCATTGACCCCGAATAGGACAAGGAGGTACAGAAAATGGGCATATGTTTTGTTTTTGTCATTCTTCATCCACTCACATTTTCCTGCAAGGTCAGGGAGAGCCAGCAATCTCTCCCAGAGAACACAGAGTACCTACACGGGATGCCGGTTCATCTCAGAGCACGCAGCTACACTGGCGATCTAGGGAGACCAGTCTACCTAAAGCACCTGTCTTTGGATGGAGAGGACGTCAGAGATCCTGGAGGCATGTCTGAGAACATGGTGAGAACATGAATAATACACACACACGCACACACACATGTAGGGTAAACATATCCTTATGGGGACCGCTCATTAATTTCAATGGGAAAAATGTTAACGCTAACTATGACAACCTTAACCCCTACCCTGCCCTAACCATAACCATAAGTGACCTAACAAAATACAAGAGTTTTTGCATTTTTAGTTTTTCCATAGCATTCACCGATTTTTATAAAATAGAGTAACCGGTCCCCATAAGGGAAAAAAATGGATATTTATCATGTTATGGGGACATTATGTCCCCATAAGGATAGGTAAACCCGCTCACACACACACACACACACACACACACACATTTCCAGGGATAAGAGTTTACCCAGCATTCCCCATGCGGTGAGAGTATAGTACAGGCATCAGAATCTTCTCCTGTGAGATGCACAGACTGGTTTGGTTCCGTGCCTCTTCTGTACCAGCGTATTCTCTGCTGGTACGTTGTATATACCTTCACTGGCACTCCCCCAGTATCAGCTCTACCTTTCCAGGGGCCCAAGGCAGATATTTACTTGGGAGGCCCCCCAACCATGAATACTGATGATATTTCACTTTCTCCAGGCAGATTAGGCAGCTGTCGGGGGTCCAATTGGCCCAAGGGGGCTCAGACAAAGACAAGAAAAAATATGTATTAAACATTCATATAAATGTAAATAAAAATCATATAAATAAGAATAATTACACAAAATGAAAAATAATTTTAAAAAACAAAACCATATTCATCAAGTTAAAATATTTATGTGCAGGCAGAAAAATGGTCACTGCTTGCTATAGGCAGAATAGGCAGCTGTCTAGGGTCCCTGAATTATGTAAAATGATCATCAATTTTCTTGGTAGGGGGCGTCCTAAGTAAAGCTTTGGCTAGAGTCTGGGCTGACCTGCACACTCCTCCCAGCAAAGAGTAAAGATGAGTTAAGTAATCGTATGAAAGTAACGCCTGAAGAGCACACTCAGTTAGCCATTACTGGGAACCTGTCACTTTACTTGCTCTCACTTTTTGTTGCCATGGAATCCACTGCGGAGGAATCTCTGATGGCGGTGACGTCAACGGGAACGAGGAAACTCTGACTTGCACAGATGCCGTCTCTCTCTCCCAGGGGAATTCTGGGATGCCAGCCACGCGCTCAAAAAGCCGTGTGACACAGCACTCTATCAGGAAGCCAGGACGTGTATGTGTGCGTCTCTCGGCATGTGCGGAGATGGAAACTGCCTGGATTAGGGTGTGCCCATGAAATCGACAAGACACCTGGCTCTGTGACACTGTGAGAGGTGGCCATCGTTCGCTAAAATCCATCTTCGGCTGCCTTCGTTTAAATGCTGGTTTCAGAGAGCTTTTAATGTCAATATGTCATTAGGTGCCCTTGTGGTAAGCAAGCCGATGGCTCCTCTGTTATGTCGGCTGCATTAGTCACCGGTGGAGTGTGGCAGAGTCTGGCTGGGATACTCACTCACGCTGAAATCACAAACCACCCCCTATTACAACCACACACCCACCTACACACACTAAACAGAGAAAACAGAGGGTAAGCCATTCATCAGACTGGATAGAAGGGCCTGGCAGGGGATTGGAGCACGTAAAACACTGAACATTAAGGAAAACATCCCTCGTAATAACCTTGCAGTTTTAGTGACTTGGGGGTAGAATGTATCTCAGTGAGTTAGGAAGGTTGCTGGTTCGAATTCCTTCAACAGCAGAGTACTTACATGTATTGAGCAAGGTCCTAAACCCCTGAAAAATGCTCTGGGTGCAGGATAAATGGCCAGACCCTGCGCTCAGACCCCAAGCTTCACTCTCACCTCTATATGTGTGTGTGTGTGTCTTTAACAAGGAGAGCATGATGGGATATGCAAAGACTAAAGAATTACTTTTGCGAATGTTGAGTTCTATCACTGATTTTTGTGGCTGTCACTTCAAGGTCTCTTTTATATATTATTAGCTTATTATTTGCAAGCGCAGTACATTTATTTTTTGAGAAAGCAGGGTCAGTCAGTCCCTGGAGCAGTTGGGGTTAAAGGACTTGCTCAAGTGAAACCACTTGGCTGACCCAGGGATTTAAACCAATGACCTTCTGACCGCAGGCAAAGCAACCAAAGCTGCTAAGCCACACACAGCCCCCAAAGGAAAAACTCCATGCTCCTTTGAGCTGGAATCAAACCAGCAACCCCATGATGTCCAGCCTTGTGCCTCTACAGTCATCTGCTCTACCAGAACATATGAAGAGTTGTGACCACATTTGAGGACACCCCCACCCCCCCCCCCTGCAAAAAACACTGCACCCAATGCCCATCTAACACTCCAGCATGGGGGAGGGGTATTTTGGGTGGGGGGTCTCGACATGTGACCAGAGCTGTCCAAGGTAAAACCATTACTTAGACACACTCCATTTTCACATAATGACTGTGCGCATGATCGACCAGACGAGGGCAGCAAAATGGAACTGAAAATTGAAATGGAACACATTCAGCTTCAGCATGCTCAATGTCTTCGTATAGCTCAGTCTGTAGAGCATCAGAAATTTATTCTGAGTATCCTTGGTTGTAGTTTCTCTTTCGGTGAGGTTCTTTCCAAAAAATCCCCTCTGCGATCAATAAAGTTAATACCTTTCTGAATCAGACATGGCACAAGAGGAAATCAGACTTTGTATTTAAAGGCTGAGTATTCACATCTTCTGAGCAAGAAAAGGCCTTTCAATAATTATATCAGCTTGTTCTTCAATATTAACTTTTAAACAAGGAAATCACTGTAGTAACTGGTGTATATGTTCACAAATGTGTAAACATAAAGAATTTGCTTCAAGCAAATCAGAAGGTTCATTGTTTCAGCTCATAGCTATGCCATTAGTTTGTGTAACGACAAAATGCATTCTGCACTAGAATCAGCACCTTTACAGGAAGCAAATGCCGGTCGCTCCAGGAAAGCGAGTCCATTCACCATCTATGATCTCACCTCTGAATGATTCAGAATTTATTCAAAATGACCACACAAAGTGACAATAGCAGGTGACATGGTTGTTGATGAATCCCCTGGAGGCTCCTGCTTGAAATCCCATGTGGTGATAGATCTCTGATATAAAAAGATAAATCTGTAAGTCACTTTGTACAAATGCTTTAAATAAACAAAGAAAAAAAAAATAAGTGAAATGACCATTCCATAAAAATCAACTGATTAAACGCCAAATGTGCTTGAGTCAACCTAAACAGATTTCAAGCATTGTAAATATACATGCCCAAACTTGATCTTATGAGCAGACTTAATGTATAAAAATAAATATCAAAGCAGCAGAGCAACTTACATTCTCAAGGTGAAACATCTTTTGCTTTTATACAGTATATTACTTAGCAAAAATCATTTCTTCCACGGACTGTCGGCATTTGGATCTCAAATACACAGATAACTATCGAGTTCCTCATATAGTCCTTGGCCGGAATTGCCCCCCTACCTGCATACTGAGCTTGAATGACCCCTGTGGTCTAATTCCCAGATGTCCTTTCAGATCTGAGAAGTAGGAGAGCAATTACCAAGGCCTCAGAATGTCCTGCAGAGTCTCCTGTGTGGTGAAGTACTCTAGGACATCAGGATCAGACGTATCCTGCGTCTTCTTCACCCCTCTTCCTCACCCAACCCCCCCCAAAAAGATCCTCCACCCTTCTCCAGAAACAATGCTGCTCAATGCTGAGAAAACCAGACACTGCTCTTTGATGTTAAGCTGCACGCATATGATGCTGACCAACAAGGCAGGTGACGTTTGCCATGTCCTGTCTGCTCTACAGGCGGCCCCGAGCCTTTCGGACCGGATGTTTCCCCCTTAGGCGCTACTCCCTTCACACCTCCGGCTAACGGAATGCAGGGGATGATGGAATAAAATCAAGGAATCAGTGAATCCAGGAATCAAGGAATCAGTGAATCCGGGCCAGGGGTTGTTCTGAATGCACTGTTCTGAATCTGTTTATGTATTTACATTAGAGACAACACCACACTGGTTACACTGTGGTAGGGGGTGCAGAACATGACCCCTATGTCTGGTCACCGGCCACACGCAGCTCAGTGACATGGGGGAACAAAGACAGGAAATGGTATTCATAGCTGGAGCATCTGTGGAGCAACTTTGAAGGCCTCCTGGCCTGGCAGAAGGAATCACTGGGACTATAGCCAGTTTAGTGAGGAATGTTCTGTTAACACCGGTCTGGTAGAAGAAGTCCGACTATATCCATGGGCCACGCAGACTCGGCCCGACCCATGTTTGCTGGTCTGTTGGCGTGGACCTTGGTTTGGCAGCTGTGTTCATGGGTCCGCCTACGTTTGTTGAATGCGTTGAGTCTGTCCATTAGTCTATGGAGCAATCTGTCAGGTCTTCACCAGTCGGTCTTGGCTTGAAGTTTGTCTTGATGGGTCCAAGCGAGGCAGCCGGGACGAATGTTCGTCAAGGACCGTGGCTCAAGGTGCCTCTGCTTTGTGGGGTCAAGCATTCCCCAACAAGAAAGAAAGGCCATAGCCTGTGGAAGGGCAGGGGGTGGTGGCCGGTGAAGCTGTAAAGACGCTCATCTGACCCACACTTCAGGCCTGTGGAACCGAAGCAGACAATAGTCAGACAAGGGGACATTGGTGAAGAATTGCAGGTAACTTGGTGGCTTCAGATTAAACACCAGGCACTAGCAGGTTGCTGCAGAAAAACAGTGTAGATGAACTTGTCATTGGGAAAAATAGGGTTTGGGGAATTTAGTAGTAACTAACGCCAAACTAAATGAATTAAATAATGAAAACAGTAATACCGCTGGCCAATAATGTAATTATATACAATTTAAATAACAAATAACAATACCACATTAATAAATTATCTTAAATATCTGCTATTATCAGTCTCAGGCCAATTGCCTAGTAATTGCTTTAACCCGACATGCCGCACTTGCTGACTTGTCGAATGCTGAGATTCAGGAGTAGTGATGGCCAAAGCGATGCTTCATGAACCATTTGCACTCTTTTGTGGCCCCACTAGATGGTGCTATTGGTTTACTTTGTGGGCATGTTTTGAGCTGTTTTTTTAAGCAGAGTGCACCCGCTAGTGGGGTCACAAAATATAGCAAATGGTTTATGAAGAGTTCTCTTGGCCATCATTCGTATGGACTAGTGAGCCACATCTACCATGACGACGGTGTGCATGTACACAGCATGTATGGTACTGTAGGCCTATATGGAGATGCACTGAAGGCAACATGGCTACAGACAGTCTACGAAAAGCAAATATAAGTGAATAAAAAAATATTGTTGTTGTCTAATAATTTGTCAAATATTTTTAGATTTCTAGAATCTAAAACTTTGACATGTTCAATGTGTGGATATACGAAAAGTTTGATTCTTTTAGATTTGAAAACCAATTTGACAGATTCACTGAAAAGAATCAGTTCAAAAGAACAAGTCATTCGTGAATAGGAAATCACTATCGTTGACTCTGATAGCTGCTTGTGCACGCAAATAGAGTTTCTTGCTACGACCACATCACATTGTAGTACACGTAGTGCTATTCTCTCCGACTGAAAACAGCCAAAATACAAATGCGTTTCCGTGTTATATTTAACTTGAGTACTAATATTTCAATCAGGTTAGAACAAATTTACGATGTGATATCACGCATTGTAGCAGGACTGACTGTACAAGCTATAAGAAAAATTATTAAAATTGCAAGTCATGGGTATGGTAGATGCAGGTAGATTCATTCTTCTAGCATTTATTCACCATCCTGCATGGACTTTTCAAAACATGTCAAACAACTTCCTACTTTCTAAACAGATTCTAAACTATATTAATGTGTCGACATATTTAACAGTTTCTACTAAAATGATGTGAGGAACATAAGGAGGAGCATGGGGGGAAATGGAGGGTTAAGGGCAACCCTTCAGATGCTGAGCTGAAAAGGAGCAGCCAGGCAGGCTGCCCAGACGTCCCGAGAGGAAACACGCCGATCTGCGGAACGTCACCGCCTGACATGACAGGACTAACAAGGCTGCGAGGAGCATGACAACCCCTGACATGCCATTCCTGAGCTGCATAAGGAGAGCCCTGGACCATTCATAGCACATTCCACAGTCCTGCTTCCAAGGTGCTGCAAGATGGATGGATGGATGAATAGCTTGAAATTATATAAATTTACCTCAGTTATTCCTGTATATGATCCTGTTATTAAATTATTTCAAATCAATTTCAGAAGCAGTTCCTGACCTTTTAAGTTTGACTTTTTTACGTTCATAATGTTCTCCCTTTCGTGCACAGTGGCCATGAGCCTCTTACCTACAGACCCATGACAAGCTCAGCACCTCATATCCATTCACCCACTGTATCCGTTTCATACCCTCATTGTCTTCTTACGCTCGTTTGCACAAACCCCAAGCTGTCTGCACTGCACATTTGGTTATTGGACTTTATTTACGTGTCTACATCAGCAGTACTCAGTTAGTTTTCCCCAAAGTCCAAATTTCATCATGGACACAAAGCTAAGCAATGGAGTGGGAATCCAGATCACATCGTGTTTCGGATCGGATGCTTGTGTTCGGGTCGGCCATTTGAGTTCTCCTATTTTATATTTGCATGTTATTTCAATTGACTTTTTTTTGGTTTTTCTTCATATGTTTAGATTTGATGTTTAAGTTCCTTGAATATTTTGCTCTTGGTGAATAAAGATTTTGATTCTGATTCTGACCCGGAATTCTTGATTATTTTACCTAAATGCTTCAGGTTAAGTACCTTGTGCAAACCTACTACAACAGTCTGCTATTTGTTTTTTGAGCTTACACCTGGGGGTATATAATAGGACGGCTGACAACTCTAAGGTGTTGCATTCAGGTTGCTATCTTCTCTGTGGTTATCTACTTGAATCCCGCTCTGGTAGTAATCATTGAAAATTCCTCCTGTGATTTGTAAAGTTAATCTTAACTTGATATCTTTGCAGTGACTTCTCACTCTGGTGCCACCCGCAGAAAAGAACATGTATAAATTTAATAGACAGATCAGAATCATTAATTAGCTGATATCAAAACTCACTTCTTTTTTTGTCAGGTTCTAACCGAATTTTATGATGTACCTTTTTATAGACTGTGCTTGTTCATTTGCTCTCATTTTTACCTGGATGTTTTATTGTGATATAGGAAAATGTGGGTGTTTTAGTTAAGAAAAGCGGTTTAGCAGCCTTTTAGTAACCTTGGGGGCGTCCACACATGATTCACAGAGGACTCCCCACCCTCAAAATACCAGCCTGCAAGAGGAGGTTTTTGAATTTTTGGATTACATTATTTTACTTTTTTTACCTCGTTTGTTGCTGATGCTCAACAAATCAAATTAAAGCCAGAGATGGTGGCACAAACTGAGGGCCTTGGGCACTATGACAGGGGCATGGATCATGGGAAGGGGGCATTCAGAGAGAGGGAGGCCAGATGGGCGGATAGTCAAGACAACAGCTCTGTCATCAGTGACGGTATTTGCCTCCGCTGAAACCCAAGGCTGAATCTGCCTTTTAACGGGACCTAGCCGTAGCTTTCCTTGGGAGTCTTCAATAACAAGAAAACTGATTGTCATTTCACATAATTCGGAGGCCCAAGGCAACTAGCTGTGCTGCCTATAGCTAGAATCGGCCATGTTTCTGTCTGCAAATAAACATTTAACTTTTATGCATGGCCTTATTATTTTTACAGGTCATCGTTGACTTACAACTGAGATCAGTTCCGACTGACTGGTCATAAGTTGATTTGGTCGCAAGTCGGCCCTTTATTTTATATGCAAAAATTATTATATGCATAGTTTACAGTATAATACAATTAAATCAACTTTAAGCCGTCTTGTTCGGTGTTTCTTTAACATCTTTATCACCATTTTCTTTGTTCATTGCTACCGATAGTTGGGGCGGAAACTGTAATACACTCGCGTTGCCAGACGCTGCAACATTCTTTCCAGTCTTGGAACGTTCATAAATTTGATTAGTTGTAAGTTGCATAAGTCATAAGTTGATGACTTATGTATAAATTTTAATACTGTGTAATTATTCTTATTTATAAATTGTGTGTGTGTGTATATATATATATATATATATATATATATATATATATATATATATATATATATATAAACAAACACACAGACATATGAACATCTTTTTCATGACTTTGTGTTGGCCCCCTTGTGCCGATTGGGCCCTAAGCAGCCTCCCAGTTTGCCTATGCCTGAATCTAACCCTGCTCAAATCATGCATTTGCTTGGGGTCCCCTCCCGGTTTAGAGGCCCCCTGTTGGTCACAAATAGTCACTACACTAAATATTAAATGAACATGTTCCTTTTTTCTGAGTGGCTGATGCCCCCAAATACCCAACTGAGTGGGGCTGCAGAAACTGCAAACTTGGCATGTCAGTCATACTCCAGGAGAAGCAAGGCTAAGGTCAGCGCTGAAAATATAAAAGTGACCTTGTCCCCTAAGGGCATGACAACATGGCTTTGCTGACTCAGTGCCCAATAGACCAGTGTCTACTAATCAAATGCAAGGTTAGATGTTGTGGAACTAGAGCATTATACATGGCTGGCCTTTTATGAGCTGAGGCAGCAGCATAGTCATTAATGGCAGATTGTTCACATACTAAGAGGAAACACACCATGTAATTTAGACCCTTGTGGGTCAGATCTTGGTTATGTAAGACAAAAATAATAATACTGCTGTCCAAAGCAAAATAGGCAACACAGTCACTGCATTTCAGCACTAAGCGCTAAATGATATTTTCTTAATGAGGGTACAAGGGTCACCCTAGACAACACGAAATGAACGATGTGCGATGGTCTGAACCTGAACGCCTCTGTATAAAGCATTTTGTCACTAGAGGGGGCTAGAGGTCTCATTTTATGACAGCACATGAAACCAATGTCATTTCAAGGTGGGGAAAAAGTAGAAAATGATGTAATAATCTAGAGTGATTTTTGGATCTTAGGCCATTATAGAGTTACATTTTTCCCAAATTCTCAATCACGAGCAAGCAAACACAATTGATTAATGCAACATTTAAAAAAAAAAAAAAAAACACGCACGGAGACACACGCACAGATTATCCAGTCAGACTGTTTACGATATTGTTCTGTAAATTAGAGGCAGTTTATGGGAGACAAAAATGACACTATGACCCCAGGAGTTGCAGAAAGTCATACTGCCGGGCAGGGAAGTATCAGAACCACGCCCTTTCAACTAAAGCGGCCACACCCCTAAATCTCACACATGTCCTCATTTCATGCTTTGGTCATTCCTGCAGATTGCGATTTAAATAAATAATAATAATACACAACATGTAGTCATCAGAAATGTGCACGCTTCATCACAACAAAGTAGGCGTTTAGATGTTATGTGTAAAAGGATGGGGTGTAAACAGATTAGTCAAACCTAACCTTACAAACGGGAAACACAAAAATCGAGTTTGTATTTCATTGGCAATCACTATAATAATTATAAACTTAAAAGCTGCTTTCTTCATGAGGAATTGCTCGAAGTTAGCAAAATGCAGCATGCTTTGTTCAAAGGCGGTCAGCGTGAATATTTAATGCTACAAAGCACGTTGTCTGTGTGAAGGGCAAACGTAATCTTGTCGAAGGTGAGAACGTAAACATGATCGTGGGTACATTTCTCATATTCTGAGACAGAAAAAAGCAAAAGTCTTTCGAGATGTCTGGAAATCAATCTCATTGCCCCCTTAAAACTATTACGTTTAGATCCTAAATGTTACCATAGGCAGAACCAAGCCACTTCCACGGCTCATGTCTCCAGAGATCAATATCATTTGTGCCGTGGAAGCTCTGTTTGCATCCAATTATATGCTTGGGAACTCAGAGAGGAAGCAATAATCACAGGGGTTTTGAAAGGCACTGTCCTACTTCTACATGTATGTCTGACTTGGTTTGATTTTCGCAAAAAAAAAGAAAAAAAGAGGAGAATGACCTTTATTCTGCGGCCGTAATACAGACAGTATAAAAGCCCCGTATACCCACCTCGAGCGCTGGAAGGCGTGGAGACGCGTCCTGCGAACGTGTGATATAAAGACATAGATTTTTTTGTTTTCCTTCTGTCGGCACTTTCACTCTTTTTTCAGGTACATGTCATCTCAGTGTGTAACTGTCCATGACAATTTCATTAATCAGAGCAATTTCACTTGAGCGACGTCCCGATCCCCGTGTACCAAAACTGACCAAGACGGACGTGTCCGCAGTTATGTGATTCATAATCACAACTTATTATTTTTTACGATAAATCTGTATGTTGTCACTCCTTAAAGAGATGACTAATGTCCAACAGTCACGCCTTTCTTGAATTTTTCCCCCCCCTTTGAGTGTTTACTCAGTTTACTTGCACACTTTTGTGATATCATTCCTGTACCAGAATTTCAAGACGAGTCTTTAAGGTTGAATATCTCGGGTCAGAACCATCTGGAAGGTTACTGTGGAAACAGACAAAGGTGCCATGGCAACATTAGAGAGGTTACCCAGGAAACCGTGGTCGCTATGGAGACAGTAATACTCTAGGCGGGATTAGCAGCATCCAGTGGAAGGCGTGTTTTTTCGCAGGACCCTTTTTTGTCGCTGTCGTCCATCTCCGAAGGACGCTTAGTGCCCTTTTCCTTGCACCTGCAGCCAGGTCTGGATCCAGATGTTGCCACATTGACTAAGAAAATATCGACACATTGTCCTTAATTGAAAGTCAGGGGTGATCTGAGATTAAATCGTTGCCGAGTACAACTCCTATCACGATGTATGAAAAAAAATTCTTCTCTTCCCGTCTTAAATGGTCAAAAAAAATCCCTATTGCTGATTAAACGCAATGGATTATCTCAGACTGATCTGACACACGTGCCGGACCCAGTGTGTATATTAGCACACATCGCTTTTCCCCCTCTTTAAAACAATTAGATTAATTTAAAATTACACGTGAGCTTTATCTATTCAAGCATTATTCGAATGAGATTAGAATTGAAGATTTGTTTATGATCAACCGCCTTGCGTTTTGTTCAGACTTTTCTCTTGCTAAAATGTTACCGATATAATTATTAAATACACTTCACTTACTATAAGTTAATGTCCACGTAACGATTAGATTTAAAACACTACGCAAACACCACCTTGGCAGTTTAAAAAAATAAAATAAAACCAGAAACGCTGACAGGTATTGCGCTTAAATCAAAGGATAGCTGGGTATCAGTGTTGTGTTACAGAACCCAGGACCTGACCCTATGTTTTATTAATGATCGTTATTTTTATAATTGTTATTTTCTCACGATTGAATGGAGTGAATCTGGCAGCTCACGGACTCGAAAGGACACATTTAAATACCTATGGCGCTGCCTCCACACAAGACTTGCACTGACACGGCACGATTATTAGGAGAAGAAGGTGCAGTGGCGGTATCTACACGGTTTTCTCTAACTTCTATACGTCTGTGAAAATCTTCTTGATGTTAACACAGTTCTGGTTGTTTTGCGCGCCGAAGTTCGGCTGCTTGAAGGTGCTGTTGATGCCCTCCTCGATCACCATGTACTCCGACTTGCTCAGCGAGGAGGTGCTACGCGTCTTCTTGAGCTCCTCGCTGGATGACAGCGGCTGGCAGCTACCGACGTGTAGATACTGCGCCTGCTCCTCACCCTCCGTCTCTCTGTGATAGAAGTAGTTGAAGTTGGAGACGATGACCGGCACCGGAAGGGCAATGGTTAAGACCCCGGCGATGGCGCACAGGGAGCCCACGATTTTACCTCCTATGGTTACAGGGTGCATGTCCCCGTAGCCGACCGTGGTCATCGTGACCACGGCCCACCAGAAGGCATCCGGGATGCTATTGAAGCCGGAGTCCGGGTCGTCTGCCTCGGCAAAGTACACGGCGCTGGAGAAGAGGATGACCCCGATGAAGAGGAAGAAGATTAAGAGCCCCAGCTCCCTCATGCTGGCCTTTAGTGTCTGTCCCAGGATCTGGAGCCCTTTGGAGTGCCGGGACAGCTTGAAGATGCGAAAGACCCTCACTAACCTGATGACCCGGAGAATGGCTAAGGACATCGCCTGTTGCCCGTTGCCCTGCCTCTCCGCCAACTCCGTGCCCAGCGTGATGAAATATGGGATAATCGCTACGATGTCGATGATGTTCATAATGTTTTTGGAGAACGTGGCTTTGCTGGGGCAGGCAAAGAAGCGCACCAGCAGTTCGAAGGAAAACCAGATGATGCACAGCGTTTCCACTACAAAGAACGGGTCCGAGAAGGGACTCCCGAGATAAGGCGCCGTCCCGTTTATAATGGGGGCCACGGTGGTCGTGTCTTTATCGTCCCGGAATTCGGGCAAAGTTTCCAAGCAAAAGATCACGATGGAGATGAGAATCACCAGCACCGAGACAATAGCGATGCCCCTCGCCGGACCCGAGCTCTCGGGGTATTCAAAGAGGAGCCAGACCTGGCGCTGAAATTCATTGCTGGGCAAGGGGCGTTCCTCCTCTTTGATGAAGCCCTCGTCCTCGCGAAACTTCTCCATGGCCTCCTCTCCGAGCTCGTAAAAGCGGATCTCCTCGGAGAAGATGTCAATGGGCACGTTGACGGGTCTCCGGATGCGACCTCCGGACTGGTAGTAGTACAGGATGGCATCGAAGCTGGGTCGGTTCCTGTCGAAAAAGTACTCGTTCCTCAGGGGGTCGAAGTAGCGCATCCTCTTCTTAGGGTCCCCCAGCAGGGTTTCGGGGAACTGGGACAGAGTTTTGAGCTGCGTCTCAAATCGCAGCCCGGAGATGTTGATCACCACACGCTCGCAGCACTCGTGGTCGGGCTCGTAGCGGTCTATGGAGTGGTGCCCAGGCAGAGCTGCCGTCTCCTCCAGCATGTTATCACAAGCCACCACAGTCATGGTGTCCTGGTCGCTCTCGGTGAAGCCGTGATTGACGACGTTGTTGCCTCGGTGCTTGGCAGACGAAGGCGGAGGCGAGTGAAGAAGGCTGAGGTGGTCGTCCATACAGGTGCTTGGATGGAGGGGCAGGTGGAGCCGCGCCTCCTCCAACTAGCGCCAGTCAGCCACAGCCGCCACCGCCGCCGCCGCCGCCGCTGAGCCGTCCTCTGTCCTCTGTCGTGCCTCTGTTTCCTCTGTCTGGCGCTCTTGCACACGGAGGCATATGAACATGCCTGCTCCCTCCCACGGCGCGCCGATCCCGGGCGCACTCCCGCCTGTCGCCCAATTGAAGCCCAAACCAACATAAACACTGAGCGCAGACGCGCGTCACCGTCGCGCCCACCATCCAGGCGCGCCCCCTTTAAACAGGCAAGGATAACTGTTGAATAAAAAGGTTTGTAATACTCCAAACTGTACTTAGTGCCACATAAAGTTCAGTTATATCCTGTGCCATTATCGAAGGTTATTTGCTATCACAAATCCTTTTAAATGGCTGGAATTAATTTGTCTTCTTCCTTTAAACACACAAGACAGCTATCTTAATTTCGGTCGCTAATAAAACAGAACAAACACGGCATTAATATTTTTGGTTTCCTTTTGCATTCACCAGCGATCGTCGCGTGTCGGTGCGTCATTGGACTTGTTTATTTTTCACTTTTGATGTTTCAAGCGTGCTTATAAAAATCTTAACTAAGAAAATCATGAAGCTTGAGTGCATACATCAACTGTCCGTGTCGATTTTCGTCACACACACACACACACACGCACACACACACACACACACACACACATACATATATATATAGGCTATATAAAATTCTGTGTCATCTCACAGAAGGGAGGTGACGTGCCCCCCATCAATGCCACTTTGACCGGCAGGAGACCAAGACGGGGATAGGGAACGAACTGTTGCTTTTTCTATAGCTTAATAACAGCACTGCTTAACCTATGCTTAACTGCCGTCCTTTGTAAGAGATATAGAAACGCATTTTTAACTAAATGTGCTGAATGCTGGGTAGACATGACCTGAATGCAAATACATTAATTTCGCGACCTCAGTTGATTTTATCAGTGTAGTGACGCGATGTATATAGATTACTATGCTTAACTGTTTCTGTGCTCAAACTGATACAGGAGGGTGACTTTCAGGAGATCAATGGGAACTGTCCCCAGTGCTGAAATGACGAAATTATTTTCCAGCCGATAACATTCCCGATCCCGATCACTGGCGAGTGGGCGTGTCCGACAGTTCATTCATAAAAATCAATGAGGAAAACGGTCTCCTTTATTCCTAAATTATATATATGTTAAATGGTATATTTTAATTTTTTACAAATACAGAGCAGAATATCTTCTGTCGCGACAAAGAATGACTTAAAATAGCCGTATTACCGGTAAAACGCAAATAATAGCTTAGACCTCGGTGGGACGAATGAGGTCACGTCTCCTTTCAGAAGGAAAACCTATGAGGTACGACACGATTTAAAAAACGAAGTTGCAAGTTAAATTTTAAGCGACAGTATCTGAATGGGTGGACATTCAAAAGAAGTGCACGATTTTTATTGTGGGGGTTTTTCCAGATCAAGTTTTGTTCGTACAGTGAGTCCCTAGCATATTACGGTGGAATGAACAGCCAGGAGAGGAAACTGGGTTTTCTTTCTTTGTAATTGCGCATCTAAGTGATTTCCCAAGACACGATCCGGATCATGTGCACCAATGAAACGTCAAACGATGGTTGCATGTTTTCAGTGCGATCCCCCTATTTTCACATCGTGCTTTATTTTTGCGAAAATCCCTTTTCCCAAAAGCTTTTGGGAGAGTCGAATTCCCGTCAGGTCGGGCATAAAGCAAGCAGCACTTTCGGTTTGTTGCATATCATTTTATGTTTGCAATTCGTTTGCTTTGATCCGTATAGCAGAATAAGCTAAATGTCAGTAATAGCTTTTCACTACCTCAATTCGTGCAAAATGCACTCCGTAAGTAGGTTGTTACAAGGGCAAATAAAGGGGTGTAATAAAATACAGACGAACACCAAAAGTACCCTCAGTCGGAGATTAAAAGAAGATTTTCAGTTATGGCTGCGCATGCAACTTTTTGGCTCCGATTTAATATTAGGGCTGTGACACTTAGATGAATATTAATAATAGGTTTAAGCAACGCTGAAGTATGCTCAAGGCATTAGGCTGGGATGGAAGGCAGAGTGAAATATATTTTATAGCTTGCGACCCTTTAGCTCGGCGGCTAGCGAACAAGCACGTGGCTAGAATCTCCAGTTAGCCTATATTAGATTAAATACGTTCCGAAAGTAAACTATTTTACTTAAAAGAGGTTAAAGGGGGACCGAATGAGGGGCAGTCATCTCTACTGTAGACTGACAGGCTTAGTGAACGAGTTAGAATGTGACAGGAATGACGATGTGACTGGGGTCATCACAGGGGGGCAGAGTGTGGGACGCCTTGCAGTCCCGCAAGAGAGCAGCGGTGACGGATATGGCGGGGCATGTGTCTGCTGACGGCAGCTGGTGAGATGCCATGTCCGCCAGCACCATGCTGCAAGGAACAACAGACGAGGACTCCGCCCCTCTGTCTTGGGGGGGCGGGTCGAGGGGAGATGCTAAAATAGACTTGTATATTTATAATTGTCCAATCCTGATCCTGCTGTGTCAGATAGATAATCGCTAGTGAAAGACGTGCACCCAAGTGACAGTTTCGAGCTTCCTGTCCCTTTCACTTCTTCTCCTGGAGACCCCAGAACACCCCCCCCCCCCATCTGATTTTGAAGAAAATTAAATACAAATCCTATACCCCCCCCACCCCCCCTCCGCCCACCCCGCCCACCGTACCCTATACCAATCAAGCCACTCATTTTTGTGGGGCCCTGAGGTTTGGGTCCGCCTCTTTGGCTGCAAATGGTAACTGTACTGGGGGGGCAGAAGTGACTTTTTGAGTGGGTCCCCAGAAAAAATCAGACCTGCCCCTGTCTACAGTGACAAAGTTGATTTGGGCTCTATGGCTACACTTCACACTCACACTTTCATTGCTGTCCCGTGAGTACGCTGGGAAAATCAGTCCTCGAACCCGCTTGACCATAACCCTGCTTGACCTTATTACTCGGAGCTGGAGTGGTAGGTCAACAGGACAAGTTAACAAACCAGAACTAACTAGTTGCTTGTTGCCGTACCTGCCCACCAATCTGCATTAGAGCCAGGTCCATTGTCTTTGGTATATTTGTTCAGTAATTCAGTTTCCTCCAAGGACTTGTCAAGATGGACTATTTCATTTTCATAACAAATATATTCATTTTTGATGTAGCAGCCTAAGGCAAGCGGACAATGAAACTGAACACTGCAAGGCAGAAGCTAATGTTCAATCCAGAATGTGAGCTTTGTAACAGACCGATAAACCTGGTGATTCTGCCAGTCAAGTAATAATGAAAAGGACACTTTTTCAATGCAAAAAAATTTGAAAAATGGCAACTGTCCTTGGAACTGACAGTTCTGCCAGCAAACACAGCATTACAGCAGAGGTAACTAATAATTGGTGGCCATGGACGGCTCATCCTGGACCTGCTTCTCTTGGTTCTTTCATCTTGCATTTTTCTTTTGACTTAAAGGCTGCATCATGGGACATTCAACTAATTTCAGTCACCTCTTCGGGGGTGACAGTGGAGAAGTCGTTAATCAGCGGCGGTGGGATTCATTAGCATGTCTGTCGCCGCCACTGCATGCAGCTATCCGACCTTTGACCTCTTTGGAAGGTCATCCTCTTCTATAACCACGTCTTCATCCAGAGACAGCATCCTTGCTTGCATTTCAGAGCACCACGTCCTCAGCCTCCAATGCCTGGGACCCGTGTTACACGGCATTCTGGGTAAGTTTTATGTGCATGAAAGGTGAAGGAAAACACATATAAACATAGTCATGTTTACACACTCACACACACCAACACGCATTCATACAAAATACACGCTTCCGAGCTTAAGGTTGTGCTCTTCATTAAGGCAGGAATAACTGCTCAGATTATTAAATACAGATACAAGATTATCTCAAGGTCACATTCACCAGAATGAGATATTTGCTTTTTAGGAGATCAGCCTAAAGACACAATTCTTCCCTTAACCTTCCCTAAATAAATAAATGATTTGTATTTTTATGAGAGTGTTACCCTCATAGATATTCACAGGGAAGAAATTAGTATGCGGCACGAGCACAAATTATCACGGGCTCCGTTCTTACCTTCCATCATTTGACCGGAGTCATTTCTTACTAAAATTACTAATAAAGAGCAGCACCCATTAATGTGTGTTTACCTTGTGAAACCGATTGAATATTTCTCAGATAGCCACATCACCTTGGCACAAAACGTCCCATAAATCAGCAGAATTAAAGCATTATGACAACCACCCTTTTGGGGTTCCTCAGAAGGACTTGTATATATTTCGTGGCAGATGCTGAGAAGAACCTCTTCCTCGCTCCACAATCCAGGCCAAAGAGAAGCTGTGGTGCATTAAAAGTCAAAAAAAGGAACCAAAAAAACCCTCTGCTGGGAAATAAGCTGAGGGACAGCCGAAGGCTTTTAATGTGGATTATAAATAGTGCGGTCCAAAGTCCCTTATTAACCTGCAAAATGAGGTTACCTTGCACGCCGCACATGGGCCCAGACGAATCGTTCGGAAAGAATGATGCCGGGTGGGGAAGCGGGCCATTTCCAGGAAGGAAAGGGCGTTTCGGCAGGATGGCCGAGGCCCAAAGTTCATGAGGGGGACAGAAACAGCGCCGGTGGTCTCCAAAACCAGCACCTCCTACTGGTAGGGAAGGGAATCGGTGGCTGAGTATAGAAGCCGGTGGTGGTGGCTTATTTCCAGATTGTCCCATGCTGCCGTGCATGTGGGATGTCTGATTCGGTAACCAGGGTTACGGGAAGGTCATAGGGAGTGTGTGACCACCATACCCCCCCCCCCCCACACACACTCCCAGCCCACCCAGATGGGAGGAATGACATTTATTTTCTGACGAGTCTATACAAGGACCCTGGGAATGGAACAAGGGGTCAGGGCCCGGTTGATGAATTGGACTCTTGGGCCCTAGTAAATACGTCTACAGCGAATACGAGAGGCGCATTTTCCAGGTCTCCAGTGAGCATGCTCAGTCCTCACTGGCGGGTCCGTGCCTTCTTCAGCACCCAGGTGAACGCAACGCAGTGGGAAGTGTTTACAGGACGATGCAGCGTCATGGAGTACAGCGGCACACGGGTAGTA